TGTGCCAGCACAAGTTTTAATAATCTATCCTTGTTCTACTAACTTGAAATGCTCTCTTTATCATATACTAAATTTCTCTATACATGTGGGTCTGTTTCTAGACTCTGTTCTGTGCTGTTGACCTATTTTGTCTATTCCTAAAGCCATATGAAAAGAGATTTAATCTCTAGAACCTTCAGAAAATTTGTTCTCCATCCCAGATATACTCCCTCTGAGAACTGAAAGCCAGTGTGACAGCTGGTGGGTATTCTGTGGCCTTCCCTAAGTCTGAGCTCCCCATAAAGCACTTCGCCTTGGAGTGTGAGACTCTCCCAGGACACACTGCTGACTTTAGGCCTGTGGCTTATTCCTGAGGGGACAGCCAGATAGGACAGGGCATGGAGTCTCGGAGGAGATTAATGCACAGAGAAAAGGTGACCAGTTCATTTTACCCTTCACTGAGCATGTGGCTTACTTCACAGTAGCTGTCTGGGTGGTTGGCTGAAGTTTCCACTCTTGTGGAAAACCTCAGACGCCACTCTGATGTCCGAGGGAAGGAGCGTGGGAGGACCTGGTTGGCCTTTCAGTTGGACAAGGGGCCTCACCAGTGTAGAGTATATGGTTTTGCTCAAAGGCAAATATTCGGGGTTTCTCTCAACACTTAGTTTTTGTTTGGTCCTTTAGGGATCAGCCCAAATGTTTTAATGTAGAATTGAGATTTTGGTTTGTATGGCTTAAAGAATTAAAGTAAAACTTGTTTTAATTCCTTGAATTATTTGAAAAGAGCCATGCTTGCCACTGGCATTACGTATTATCTTTTATTACAAAACTGAACATTAGACTTTCCTGATACATTTTGTCTGAGGCTGACTTAGATAATTTGATAGCCTATTATCAATTTTGTAGAAAGTGACTTTTTATTGTAAAACTGCTGTTAACTTGTAAATCATGTTTTCTATTGACATCATTTTAATTTATCAGCTAATAGAAACTATTATGCCACTTTTTACTTTTAATATTTCAGAAAAATATGCCCAAATTCAACAAAATTCCTTTCTACCTCCAACCTCATGCATCTTCAGGAGCAAAAACCTTAAAAAAGTAAGTAAATGTAGTGTTTTGTGATGATTTGGTCTAATTAATTACCAGAGAGGGGTTTTTTATTCATTATTGCTTTTATAGCAAAGGAGGCAAATGCTGGACCTAAGGCTAGTTTTAATACTATTAACACTTTTCACAGTTTAACCATTTATCAAGTACCTACTGTGGTAGGTTGCAGATGTTCAAAATAAGACATGGGTTTCATCTCTTGCCATAACTCATAGTGTAGGACACAAGCCGTGTGTAATAACTGCCTTTCTGGATACTTAGGAATCATGAGCGTAGGGGAAAGGAATTTTTGACTGGAGCTTCCCAGAAAGGCTTCTTGAAGGACATGGGATTTGAGCTGGACATGTAAGAATGGCTAGAACTTCAAGAGAGATATCCCAGGTCCAGGAAATGGTTGGATTGGGGATGTGAAGCGGAAGCACAAAGAAGATTCTGAAAGATGAGCGGGGACCTCTGTAGCTGCAGCCCATGCTGTGGGGGCGGAGGAAAAATAACTAGGAGGGAAGTCGGAGAAGACATTAAGAGGTTTCATCCACGCATATACCACCAATTAAAATCAACAAGACTTTAAAACCTTTTGCTGGGAAAATTTCCAAACATACAAAACAGAGAATAGGGGAATGAACCCCCTTCATTCCCATCCAGCAGCTTCAGTAATTCTTAGCACACGGCTAAACACGTTGCTTCCTCTGTACCTCTTCCTGCCCTCCCACCCATCTGCCTGCACACACCAGGGCAAGTCCTAGATCTCACCTCACTCGATTTAATGACCCCAAACTCGAGATGACTTTCGGAATTTGAGCCTGAGCCTACTTGGTTTGGCCGTTAACTGACGTCAGAGAAACAGGAGAAGTAGGTTTGGGAGTGAGGAAGTATTTCCTTTGCCTGGGCTCCGGTTGAGCATAATCATGTCTTAAAAGGACACCATAGAAATCTGTTGGAAATTCTAAAACTGGATTAAGGCAATGACTAAAAATTGTATTGGCTTATGTTTCTGTGGTATGTTTTCATCTTTATCAAACATTAACACCAAGGAGTGTGGACAAGAGAACACCCAGTGATTTGGTGATGTCACAATCTGCCCTTGCGTTTTAGAGACAGACTTTCTGCCAGCGACATGCTCCAAGTCCGGAAAGTAATGGAGCATGTTTATGAGAAAATCATCAACTTGGATAGTGAGTCGCAGACCACCGGCTCCTCCAATAACGAAAAGCCCGGCGAGCAGGACAAGGAGGAGGACATCGCTGTGCTGGCGGAGGAGAAGATCGAGCTGCTGTGCCAGGACCAGGTGAGCCCCCGCGGGGCTGGTGCTGCAACAGCGCGGTGCCCGTGTGCCTCCCAAGCTGGTGCCGTCAGGGGCCTCTGCTTTTAAGGAGACAGGGATTCTGGGTGTCTCCCACCTGCGTGTGAGGCCCCTGCAAGGAGAGGGCAGGATCATCTTGATTTGCAGGGAGCATCTGTTGTTAGTTTAGGGTTTGAAGTGGAGGTGGGTGGAGCTGTTTTAATGCAAGATGCACTCACCCTGCCCGTGTGGCTCAGTGGTTGAGCATTGGCCCATGCACCAAGAGGCACATGCCTGGGTTGCGGGCTCCATCCTCAGTAGGGGGTGTGCAGGAGGCAGCCGATCGATATTTCTATCTTTCTATCCCCCCTCCCGTCTTCTCTCAAATCAGTAAAAACATTTAAAAAAATAAAGATAAATCAGGATATACTCAAGGCCTCTCTCCCGGGGAACAGCTGAAGAGAGTTGCTGGCCTAGCCACACAGGCTGCACATCTACCGTGCCCAGGTTCGTGCCTGTGTACATGGCAGTCATGTCAGCAAGAGCAGGCCTGTCTCGGGCGTGGGGGCGGAGAGGACACGCTGGCTCACCTGATGAGAGTCCCGGAGTTAACAGTAAAGGACTTAGATGTTAGACATTTCTCATTTATGTTTTGTTCTTCAGGTTTTAGATCCAAACATGGACCTTCGGACAGTGAAACACTTCATATGGAAGAGTGGCGGGGACCTCACCCTGCATTACCGGCAGAAGTCCACGTGAGGGGTGGGTGAGCACCCGTGGGTATCCATTTACTGACCTTCCTCCGTGGCCCCAAGCGTAGTCCTAGGAAGCCCACTGAGCCCCAGTGGGAACAAGACTAACGGCGGATTTGGTATGGACTCAGATTCTCTTTCAGCCGAAGTGACTAATCGAAATGTAATATAGAAACCATCTTCTTGTGTAGATTAAACTGTCCCCAGGGAGGCAGAGTCCGAGAGCAGAAGAACCCCCAGCAAACTCTCGTGAGATGTACAGAGAACTGACAGGCCAGCGCAGACTTGGCTTCCTCCTTTTATTTCAAAGGACCTTATCTTTGTTAGCACTTGTTAGAAACACATCCGGCAGGGCCACGTCTGTCACTGTTTCAACTTCAAACACGCTGTGTAGCTTTTCTAAGAGAGTACATTCCATTCATGCAGTACCTACCTATGAAGGCTTTTTCCAAGTTTGTCATTAAAAACAAGCAAATTGTTTTCTCCATTTAAGACAGTTATTTTTAATAGGAACTTGCTGTTGCACAATTCAGAGCCAGCCCATTTCATAATAAACGATTATTGTTGGGCTTGTTTTTAATACTGCACCTCAGATGTGTTCCTGTAAGAGGATCTGTTGAACTTCCAGGGGCTGGGCCAGAGCACTTGTACTTGTGCCCAGCGATGCCACACTGACCCCAGTGCCCTGGACTGGACGGCAGCCACAGGGAGGTGTGGCTGTTTCACTCCTTCCTCCCATGTCGTTTTATTTATGGGCAAAGCCAGGTAACACCAGAGGATCTTGCTCTGGTGAGCAGCAAGGCACCATCCCAACTTAAGACCATGGTGAAATTTTAACTTCATTTAAATGCTACCTAAAATGTATGGTGTCAGTAAAAGGATATCATGGTGAGTTACGTTGGTAACTCATAGCCTGGGAAGATACATATTTGTTTTTCCAGAGTTTTATACGCAGGTTTTTGTTGTTGTACCTATATCCAGATTTCTTTTCTCTGTTCTTTCTAACAATCTAAAGCTTTCATAGAATCATTTGGATCTTGTACAGAATATAACTTATTGGGGATAAACACTTCAACTTTTGGCAGAAAAAAACACTTTGGATTCTCCCCAAGGTCATTTGTATTCAGGCTAGAACAATGGTCCACCCCGATCTGACTCCATGAGACGAGCCTCCTGTTTGAAGCCAGAAGCACAAGTGCCTTCAGAGGGCAGTTTCTCCAGTCCCGGTGCCTCCCCAGCTTGTGCACAGCCCGTGCCCACAGCAGCAGGGCCTGCGCAGGGGTGGGCAAGTTTTTTCTTTCCTACATCTTCACAGGTTCAGCTGAAGGCAGCTGATGGGCCTGGGTCCAGACCTTACTGTTAGAGATACTCTGATTCGCACAACTGTAGAGACAGGGCTCCCTCACTGCCGGGCAGCCTCCTCTGGAAAGTGGACAGGTCACTGCCTCTGGCTCTCCCAACGTGAGCAAAGACACGCCACATTCCCATCAAGCCCTCCCTCGCACAGAGAGCAGCCGGCTTCTTTTGTAAACAACCCTTTCTATCTGTTGGATACAACAGTGCACTTTTGGTGCACATTTTTTAGCAATAGTTGTTAATATTAAAAAAAAACAAAAAAAACCCTCATTTACCAGCCCTCAGTAGTGTTTGCATGAGGGGCCCTCGGGCTAAAGGAGTGGGTTCGCTGGGCCGTCTTGCCCTGCGTGCCTAGTCGAGGGGCGGCTGCACTCCCTTCCCGTCACAGATCTGACCCCAGCATGGTTGTAATTTTTTCTTTTCTTCCAGTCAAACCAGTAAGTTTCCAGAAAATTTGACAGTCTGCAATGCCAAAAGGGTAAAAATCTGTATTTCACAGTTGTATAGAATAAAGGCTTTAGTTAAAATACTCAAAGTATAGCACGTTTATTTCTCTCACTTGTCAGTTTCCTTCTGAGCAGACAACAGAGAAATTGAGAAACCTCTGGGTTCCTGGTCACCGTGGAAATAATCAGCACTGACACCCATTTTGTCCTACAGTTTGGGGAGAGGACTGCGTAAGGGCAGGAAGAGCCAGAAGCCTTGGGCGAGGGCAACGGGGTCAGACCACCAGGCCAGCGGAGGGGAGCTGCCCGCAGAGCAGTCCCGTGTGCTTCTGTTTGTCTCTCTGGGTTTCCGTAGGCACACTCCGGGCTCCCGGGCGGCCCAGCAGCCAGGCCCCAGCATGGCTTTGGATTCCCAGCCTCCTTGCTTTGCAGGCTGAGCTGCGCTGGCAGACATGACAGGGCTTGCTCTTAGTGCAGTGAGTGCTAGAACTTAGTGTTTGCTAATTCGGGGCCCTCCCTCCATATACTTGGTCTGTGCCCCCCACAGCCGATGGTCCTTGTGCTACGGGCCTAACAGAGCTCTGAATGTCCTTGTAAGCGTGGATATTGCAAATCAAGCAGCAAAGGGGGGGTTTTATGTGGACAGAGACTGGAGGGCAAGGCCAGAGGCAGCTTTCATGGTAGTCAGCCCAAAGTGTGGGAAGGTGAGGGGCTCTGGCCAGGACAGGTGAGGACGTGAGGTGAAGGGCTGTCCCTGGGTGGAGCCCCCCTCTTCCTGCAGGGCAGAGCAGAAGGCTCATCTGAGCCTTCGCCTCCCAGGCACCTGGTTGGGGGAGAACAGCCCCCCCCCCCCACACACACACACACACAATGCTATGGGAAAGAACAGAAGGGTCTTTACCCACTCTTGTCCCAGCCTCTCATTTCCCCCTATGGTGGGAGCTGTGTATGGAGATCAGTCTGGGGGACCGGCTTTGAGAGTCGGTGAATTTAAACTCGTAACTCATTCACCACTGGGGCGGGCTGGGTGCCTTGTGTGTTTAGAGATTGTTGTGTGAGTTTGGGAGGTGACAGGACTCACACTGGGGATACTAGGTCTAGCGAAGAAGAAACATCGGGGTCCAAGCACAGGTGAGTGCTGAAGATTCCAGAATTTCCAACCCTGCTCTCCCAGGAGAGGTGGGCAAGTTCACTGCCTCTCTCCTCCAGCAGTTACTGGCAGGTGTCAGTCAGCCTGAGCCAGCTGTGCAGTGTCACACAGGAATGGGGGCACACGACAAAAGAGACAGTAACTGGGGCTTCAAGGTTCCCCAGGGCTGGGGGTGCTTCCAGTGAATGCTGGCTCAGCTGTGCGGAAGAGTCAAGGCGAGCTCTACAAAGCGCTTAGGCAACTCCACACCAACCCCTCCTCCCTCACCCCATCGTCACACCTGGTCATGCCTCGGCCCTGCTGCCCCTGGGAAGCCACAGTGACCAAGCAGGAGCAAGCGCTGCACCTCGGGGAACACAGCCAAAGGATGCCCTCCCGAGGCCCACGTCCCCTCTTCCTACTTACTGAGGCTCCATGCCCCACACAAGCAGCAAAGCAGCCCTCTCCTACCCGTGCCCCAAAACTGATTTAACCTAGGGTGCCACCCCTAGCTCCCACCCGAAAAGGACATGATTGAGATTCTCAAACAAGCGCCCAATTCCCCAAAGCCAGGACCATCACGCAGAATGCTGGTAGGTCATTTCTTAAGAGACCAGTAGGGTCTGAGTGGACACGAGCCCCCCACCTGCAGAAGTCCCTGCACATCACTTAAAGCTGCAGCTTAGGAAGCTGGTCATACTGGGATGGGATCAAGCGAGGGGCTGGGTCCCGCAGTGTGGCCTGAGCCACCTCCCCACATGTGGGCCTCATGAAATGCCATCAGGGGCCTTGTCACAGCCCAGGGTGTTATTTGGGGGTAGGGAGCTGGGCCTGGCTGGCTGCCCCCTCTGCCTCCACCTCCGCCCGGAGGTCTGGACTTGTGCTTGCCGGCTCCTCCTCAGCCTGAGCCTCGAGCAGCTCCGCAGACAGCCCGTCCTCTGGTGAGGCCGCAGAGGTGAGACTGTCGGGGAGGGTCAGCTGAGGCAGGTGATCCTGCGGGGCCTGGGCGCCCGGGCTGTCCGGGAAGGAAACCTCAAACTCTGACCCAGACCATGTGGCCTCACCTGAAACACACGAACAGGATGGGGCTGAGGCCTGCAGAACCTGGGGCCACTGTGACTCCCAAACCCCACCCCAAACACTGATGGGGGATGACAGCCAGTGTCCACATGCCTTGATGTGGCTGGATTCCTCCAGAAGGCCAGCCTCTACCCCACTGAGAAACTCCAGGCGGCCATCCCAACAGCCCTTCCCAGAGGCATCACTCACCACCACGCTCGTGGGAGCCATTGCTGGAGCCAACATCCTCCAGGCCTGGGGCTGACACGGCGGTGGAGGTCAGCCCTGGGAAAGGGGGCAGGCTGGGCCAGGCGCTGGCACTGCTGTCCAAGAGGGCGATGCCTGACACGTCCAGGAAGCCTAGGGGAAGAGGCACAGTTCTTTGCTAGAACACAGCCCTACCTGCTAAAGGCCAGTGCCCTGGCTCACTCTATCCTGTTCCTGGGGCATCTGGCTCAGCCTGTGGTAAAGTGCAACCCAAAGAGGTTCCCCACTGCCTGTTCCTAAGGAAAGAAAGGGGCCTGGCATTGCACCATGGGAGTAGCACAGTGCCAGAGGCCCAGAACCTGCTCAGTCACCAATTTGCTGACTTTGAGTAGGCCACCTCTCTTCTCTGGACAGCAGCCTCCCCATCTACACACTGGATATGGTCATCTGCCACCATCTTGGCACATAGTAGGGGTCAGTGGGTCTGAGGAAGGTTTTGGTACCCAAAGACCAGCCCTGAGCCTGGGACGCATTTCTGCACCAGGCATTGCAGGTTGCTCAGCCTCCTCTCTGGGGCCCACTCGCTACCTGGGTCCATGACTCGCTGCACTGGCGGTGGAGGCTGAAGAGGAGTCTCCATGGGACGTGGAAGTCCCCCGAGGTCTGGCGCACCGTAGCCAAGACTCCCAGGCTCAGGAGGCAGTCCCTCTATAGAGGAGCCAGGTGCCTGCAGCAGGGCCTAGGGGAGCCGGGGAAGAAGAGGGAACAGAGAGAGGGGGCAGTCGGGACAGTGTAGTCTAACCAAACCCAACCCTTGCTGGCCCCTGAAGCACCGCTCTGCCTGAAGAAGCAAACAGCCTTGGTGACCTGCCCCTTCTTACAGGTGACGGGAAGTTAGACGGCCTGGCTGGCCTCCCCTGCAGTGCTGACACGGAGCAGGAGCCCTCTTGCCACTCTGCCGAGGAGCCCAGGTGCCCATCTGGCTGGGCCCCATCAATGAGTCACAAGAAGAGAGGGCCTTCCTTGAATCCCAGCCTGCCTGGGAAGCAATCCTCGTGTGCCCAGGTACAGACCCCAGGCACCAGCCCAGTGCCTAAGGCATCCAGGTGACCCGCTCAACAGCCACGAGGGCAAGACCAGCACTGCCCTGCAGACCTGGCCAGACACCAGCCCAGCAGGGATCGGATGCCCTGCCCCTGGCCCAACTTTACCACGCACTCACTGAGGCACAGAACAAGGCTCTGCCCACCTCTGAGTCTCAGGTCCCCCACTCATTAATATGACAACTGGCGCCTTGCCACTACCCTCACCTCCGACCTAAGTGGCAGGAGAACCAAAGTAGGTTTCAAGGTCCCACAATGGGCCCACATGCTCCCACTGGGTCCCAGAAGCAGATGGGCCTCCTAGGGGCTCCAAAGACAGGCCCCTGGTGAAGGAAGCCTCCAGAGTCCTTTCTCCCCAGCTGGCAGGCCCCTCCACCCACATGAAGCTCCCCACTTCTCCTGGTTGGCAGGTGCTCCCCACATACCTCCATATAGTCACCCTGCCTGGAACCCATCTCTGGGCCAGGATGAGCAGAAGAGTCCTGGGGGGTAAGTCCAGGTGGCAGGGTACTAGATGGAAGAGCACCAAGTGGCAAGGCACCAGGTGGTGAGGTACCAGATGGTGGAACACCAGGCGGCAGGGTACCAGGTGTTGAGGTACCAGATGGTGGAACACCAGGCGGCAGGGTACCAGGTGGTGAGGTACCAGATGGTGGAACACCAGGTGGCAGAGTAGCGGGTGGTGAGGTACCAGATAGCAGAACATCAGGTGGAGGGGTACCAGGTGGTAGGGCACCAGATGGAGGGGTACCGGATGGCAGGGCACCAGGTGGTGGGGTACCAGGTGGCAGGGTACCAGGCAGTGGGGTACCAGGTGGCGAGGTACCAGATGGCAGGGCACCAGGTGTCTTCTTGTGGTAGCTGGGGGGCTGGATTGGGATCCGATGCAGATACCCGTAGCCGATACCACACCCCAGACTGCCAAAGTCCAGAAACATTCAATCCACGAGTTGTCCCACAGCCCTTCCTATCTCTGCCACCCCCACCCACCAATGGGTGCTAAAAGGATGCGTCCTGGACAAATGATCAGCCTCAGGATCCCAGGACCCAGCCCTCCACCCCCCAACAGGATTCTGGGTCCATACCCACTGGCCAGGCGCACCCAAGCCCCACCCTACAGCCCTTGGGCCCCCAGAAGTACCTGCCCTCTCCACCCCAGGCTGCGTTGGGAGTTACAGACACCTCCCGGCAGGAGTCGGACTCGGAGTTATAAACCATCAGCTTCAAGGGCTTCCCCTCGTGGGACTCGATGAGGGTAAAGAAGTCCTCAGACTGTGACAAACACACAGTGCCTGAGCCCTGCCCCCAGCACTGGAAGTGGGAGCCTCGACAAAACCAGGCACGTCTCATGGCAGCACCCATATCTCCACCCCGACAGGGCCTGAGGGGGGCTAGGCCTCGGGGTCCTCACCTCCTGGAGGAGCTGGTCTGAGCCAATCACATAGTCCGTGTAGGGGCGCAGGCCAGCAAGGGAGGCGGGCGAAGAGGGTTCCACATCCTGGGGAAGGAATTAAGAACTGTCCGGGGAGGAACCGGGAAACTGCCTTTCCAGGCAGTCAGTAGGATACTTGTCCTCGGTCCCCAGGCCAAGGCCTCAAGCCCAGACTCTCCTACCGTACCCCCTAATTACCCTACCTCTCCCAGGTCCACAGCCTGCCCAGTAGGGGGCAGCAACTGGGCACGGCTCACAGCACTGAGCTCCGGAATCTCACCTGGGTTCAACTTCTGACTCCACCAACTGCCAGCTGGGCGACTATGAACAAATATTTTAACCCCTCAGCCTCAGGTTCCCAACAGTTATAAGTAGGACATGTAGTGCTTACTCGTAGGGCTGCTGAGATTTTTAAAAATAATATATGTAAAGAATGAAAACCACATTTTGACCCACAGTCAGCGCCCAATTGCATGGCTGTTAATGATGCAGGCGTGCAGCTGAAGATCCCTGGGTAGGGGTTGAAGGCGAGGGCAGTGAGCAGGACTGGGTACAGGGGTGGCNGGGCTTCCCCTCGTGGGACTCGATGAGGGTAAAGAAGTCCTCAGACTGTGACAAACACACAGTGCCTGAGCCCTGCCCCCAGCACTGGAAGTGGGAGCCTCGACAAAACCAGGCACGTCTCATGGCAGCACCCATATCTCCACCCCGACAGGGCCTGAGGGGGGCTAGGCCTCGGGGTCCTCACCTCCTGGAGGAGCTGGTCTGAGCCAATCACATAGTCCGTGTAGGGGCGCAGGCCAGCAAGGGAGGCGGGCGAAGAGGGTTCCACATCCTGGGGAAGGAATTAAGAACTGTCCGGGGAGGAACCGGGAAACTGCCTTTCCAGGCAGTCAGTAGGATACTTGTCCTCGGTCCCCAGGCCAAGGCCTCAAGCCCAGACTCTCCTACCGTACCCCCTAATTACCCTACCTCTCCCAGGTCCACAGCCTGCCCAGTAGGGGGCAGCAACTGGGCACGGCTCACAGCACTGAGCTCCGGAATCTCACCTGGGTTCAACTTCTGACTCCACCAACTGCCAGCTGGGCGACTATGAACAAATATTTTAACCCCTCAGCCTCAGGTTCCCAACAGTTATAAGTAGGACATGTAGTGCTTACTCGTAGGGCTGCTGAGATTTTTAAAAATAATATATGTAAAGAATGAAAACCACATTTTGACCCACAGTCAGCGCCCAATTGCATGGCTGTTAATGATGCAGGCGTGCAGCTGAAGATCCCTGGGTAGGGGTTGAAGGCGAGGGCAGTGAGCAGGAGTGGCTTTCTCCCTTAGAGAGGGCCCTGGGAAGCTTGACCACTCCCCACCTCCTAGAGAAATGCAAAGGGACTTGCACCATTGCCCCGTGGCACTGAAGGACAAGCTGAAGCTGGTGGGAAAGGTTGATAAGGCCCCCCAAAAAGTCAAGGAGCAACAGAGGAGGCTAGAAAACCAGCCAGTTTCCAGCTCAGGGCACTCTCCTGTCAACAAGCCACAGGACCAAACATTCTTGCAAACTTGGGCACCCTCAGTGGATGCACACGTCACCTATGCACATGTATCTGTGACAATTCAGTCACTGAGGCTCACTAAGGTGCAGACCCCAGGCAGCAGCCCAGTGCCCAGAGAATGAAAGGGATTTGCCAGAAAAAATCCCACTACATAGAAAGACTAACGTAGCAGCAGCGGCATTCTGGCAGCACAACCATCCTTCCCACCTCTCAAAATAAGAATCCATGGGACAGAGGGTAAACAAATACCCAGTCACATGCTAACAAGAGGCAAGGCACAGGGCACAAGTAAAGAGCTGCCCTCTCTGGGACACTGGAATGAGTGAGGCCAGGCCCTGCCCTCAGGGAGTCCTCTAACAGTCCCCATCCCAGCTACCCCCGCACACCCTCCGTGTTCTGGTCCCGCCACCTTCCCCCACATGCCCTGCCCCTGCAGTGCCCTGCCTGTGACCCCAATGCCCCACTCACCGCCCCACCCACATCCATGCCCAGCCCAGCCCCACTCACCAGCACGTGCCACACATGCTCGCTGGCCCTGTGGAAGCTGCAGAAGCGCACGCTGGCGCCCAGCAGGCCGGGACCGCCCCACATGTTGCTGGGTACCACCTCCACCTCGCGCACCTTCATGGTCTTCATGTTGAACACCTCCAGCTTCACGGGCTTCTCCACATTGGCCTTCAGCAGGTCCCTCAGCGTGTCCGTCTCCTTGTTCTACGGGGGCAGGGGGCTGACTCCAAGGACGCCCACACCCCAGCCAGGCCACTCAGACAAGTCTGGGTCTGAGATGGGGCAAGGGCCCTGGTGGCCAGTTGCCCCAGTAGGGCCTGGTGTGGGATGGGCCGAGGCAGCGACCGGGCCCAGGCCCAGGTCCACAGGTCAGAACTGGGCCTGTAGCCATTATGACCACCCCTTTCCCCCAAGCAGTGCTAAACCTTCCTCCCTCAGTGCTTCCTGCCCCCAGGAGATGCAACAAAATCCGCAAAGAGCCTCCTGGGTCCAGGGTACTGCAGGGCAGTCCCACTCTGAGCTGCCCCTTGGCCAGAGCCCTCACATCTCTCATGCTCCAAGGGGCAGGCCCCATGGCTACCCCAAGAGTCAATCAGCCCTTCAGTCTAGCTGAGCACTGGGCAGGGCCTCCCTCCAGAAGAAAAGGGAGGTGGGAGCTGGGCAGGGGCTTCCTTTGGGACCTACGCGACACACAGACACAGCAAAGCTCACCAGCCGTGAGTGCCCGATGGTGATGATGAAGTCGAAGTAGGGCTCCAGGCCCGCCTGCTGGGCTGGGGAGTTCTCCTGCACCTGTCCCATGGCAGAAGCCAGTCACCGAGCCAGCCCCGTGACTTCAGTAAGTCCCAGCCCTCAGTCTCAGAAACCATCACCACCCATGTCCCAGCACGGAAACGCACTGGCATGAACTGTTCCAGACAGGCCCCACATGGGCACTGTCACCATGAACTCCATCTTCTCTCACCACCTTCCTGGGCACGCATTTTCCTCGCTAGGAAAATGGCTCTTCCCTGATTATGACCCACAGGCCATGCTTCCAGAGATGGCCCGTAGGAGAGCACAGGGCAGTCCTGGGGGCTACCAGAAGGTCTCAGGAAACAGGGTGGCGCAAGCCTGTGGGAAACGCAGATGATTTCACAGAAACGTTAGGATGTGGACAGAAAGGGAGGGCCTGACGTGCAGTGGAAGTGGACAGGCCCCAGGATAGACGGAGCCAGGGCTGTGCCCAGAAAAAGGCAGCGGGGAAGGAACCCTGTGGCCAGATCCCAGAGGGCCCCAGACCCTGTGGTGACAGGTCAAGGTCAACCCAGCAGACGATGGAGGCAGACCGCAGGGGCAGGAATGAGCCTGAGCCAGGGAGCCTGGTGAGCAGTGCTGGATCCCAGCCTCAGAATCTAGCCTCCGCTCCTCCCTGGAGCAGGACAGCTCCAGGAGCCATTCCTGGCACAAGGGTGCTTCCTGCCCTGCTCTGCCCTGGACTCCCCAAATCCTGCTGTCTCCGACAACCAGGGCTTGCGGCCATGGCAGAAATCCCCTCTCAAAGGCCCCATTTACAGAGCTTCACTCAACAATGCAGCCTTTATCTCCAGGTCCCAACCCTGCATGTGGGCCCCACACCCTCGGGCCTTTGGCTGTGCACTTGATGCCCTGCTGGTCAGGCATCAGCCAGGCCCCAGCCCAGAGGGCACAGGGCTCATGTGGCCTCTGGTTCTGGATACCTCTGCTAGGGGAAGGCCCTGTGGCTTCTGCCGCCCACCAGCCCCTCCAGTCCTGGATCCCCCAGGCTGAAGGACAGCTCACCACTGAGCCTTCAGATCAAAGCCAATTCACCCCTGGAATGAGGACTCCTTCGTGGCAGTGTCACCAGTTGAGCCCCTGAGTGCCACCTCCAGAAGCTGCCATGGCTTCCAGTGAGAGTGCCCACTCAAACCCTAGTTAGCCTGGAGTCCCTGCCTGCTCCCCACTGCTTTAGGGGAAAGCTGGGACTAGGTTGCTTTTGAAAACCAAAGGACAGTTAATCAGAGAGCTTGGGGAGAGGCACTCCTCCATGCTCGGAGGCAACCCCCAAGCCACTGTACCTCCCTCTGGCAAGACCCTGCTCCTGAAGCCATGCCACCCGGCACCTGCTCACGACTGCTGCCCTCCATCATTAACGAGGTCCAGAGGCTCAGGCCCCCAGTCTCCAGGCCCAGCCCCCTCCCAACCCACCCAGAGCCTCTGCCTACTCTCTCCAGTGGCCTTGTCCTCAGTCTGGCTGTACTTCCTGCCCTGGGCCTTGTCATTGCCCACTATGGCTCTACAGCAGAAATCACCTGCGCGCTGCTGCCCACCGCACCCCACAGCACCCCCACTATCCCAACAAGCATGGCCCTCTGGCCGGCTCTCCTTTGGTTCCCATCACACCCAGCCCCACAGCCCCACAGCCCATAACTCTCTCCCCTGAGGTTCACATCAGGGAACCTCTTGTGATTAAGGACAGCAGCTCACCCACTGCGGGTTGTCTGGGTGCCAGGGGACAGCACCACCTGCTTACCCCTCGCTTCACCCTTTTACTAACTCGACTTACCGAGGAGTAAAAGTACTCAGTTATTCAGGAATCTGACCCCAGAAACCCACCCCGTCCCTACCCACTGCCCTGTCCCAGCTGTCTCCGGGGGAATCTCCACTGCTCACAGCTGGCTGAAGGCAGGGACCTCTCCCATGTGCTTGGCACACAGTGGAAACGCCCACAGTTACAGAAGGCAGCACACCTGTTCTTCAGTTTTTAAAAATGTAAGTAAGTAATGTCACTCTTCCACTTAAGGCCTCCCAACGGCTCCACGTCTCAGAATAAAATCTGAAGTCTTCAGGCTGCCACTTTCGCTGGCTGGTGAGCACTGATCCTCCAGCCCCGAAGCCTTTCCGACCCCACGACGAGCGGGGGGTGCGCCCGTGGGCCACCAGCTGCTGGCGTCCACTTGGCTCCCCGACCCCGCGCGCCCAAGAGCGGCGACCGGGTCCCCAGGCCCAGCACGGAGAGCGAGGGACACACAGCGGGCGACCATAAATGTGACCTAAGTGCACGACTGCGTCCCGACCCGAGCTGCCGCAATCTGCACCCGGGAAAAGCGCTACTCCCGGGGCCAGACCCGACCAGGAAACGCTCCCGCTTCCTGCACAGCTGGCACTGGGGCGGGCGCCGGGCGACAGCGGCCGCGGACGGGCCGGGCGCCGGGAGT